ACTGTTGGGCTTGTGTCTTTTGCAGCATCTTCAACTTTTAGTTCAACTTTTAAAAAATGCCCTGCATTTTTTCCCCATTTCACTGTCCACGTGTTACGTTTTTCAAAGCAAATGCGTGTTATGTGGGAATGGCCCTCATCATGGCATTCTAAAAACAGCGCTTAAGTTAAAAGAACTCGCATTTTTACATTTCACTGAGCTACTTTTCCATTGTTTTTCTATTTAAACATGCAATAGTTGGATATGTTTGACCGCTGTGCTTGTGCTCAGCTCTTTTGCAGCTTCTCGCGCATGAGGAGCTTCACACAGAACGTGTTTTTCCTTGCCATTGTACTACTTTTCCATTGTTTTTCTATGTAAACATGCTAGATGAATGTGCTTGAATGTGTTGCTTTCACGTCTCGGCATTGACACCGCATTATAAAAACATGCCACTCAAGTTAAAATGTTTAGATTTTAAGAAAAGCGTCTTTTAAGAAATGTGTCTCCAGACCTTGCATTTTTTCAATTGCACTGCCCTGCATCTCAAGTTTTTAAATTTCACTGAGCTGCTTTTCAATAGTTTTTCTAATTAAGTCTGTGAGAAAAGGACATGTTTGACCGCTGCAATCACGTCTTTTTCAGTATCGCACGACGTGGCATTCTAAAAACAGAAACACTCAAGTTAAAAGAACGAATGTTTGCAGCATCTTGTGCATGACATGGCGTTCTAAAAACAGCATTCATGATAAAAGAAGTTCAGCCTTAAAAACTGCAGCTCTAGGCTTCCACTACCTAAGTGTGTTTTTAGACAACAACATGTTCTGCATGAATGACTCTACTGTTTTTCAACTTATCTGATCTTAATCACTTTACACTGAAATTCCCGCTCTTATATTCTTCTGACAGAGAAGTTAGCAGCGGTAGCGGTGAGCTCCAAGAGAGCGGCGCTGGGTGGAGCAGGTGTGATGGGACCTCCAGGTCATCCAGGACCACCTGGATCTCCAGGACCTCAGGGTTCTCATGGACTGCCAGGCGGCCGTGGCATTCCTGGCATGATCGGGGCCTCAGGCCAGATAGGAAACACTGGTCTTAAAGGTTAAAAAACCTTTTAAATATAGATCTTGCTCTTGTGAAAATACTGTCAGTCATCCTCATTACTGTAAATCCTATCCCCATGTTTCCATTTTGCAGGAAAGAGGGGTGCAAAGGGAGAGAGAGGAGATCCTGGCCGACCACATCCTGGCCAACCGGGACCACCTGGACTGCCAGGTAAG